TTTGAGGTGTTAAGGAACAATCCTGAATTCCCTAGGCCATGTAGTAGGCGAAAAGTATTTAAAGTCCTACTGTTACAAGGAGAACATTTGAAACACAAAATATTGACCAAATTCATAGGAAGTTATTAAATAAATTAAAACAGTCAAGGTTAAAACAGTCATTGAAACTTTGCCAAAAATTTGTCAACCATCATAAAAATCATCCATAGCCTTAACAGAAAAAATATACCTCTTGATTCTTTTGAGGAGCATGCATAAGAAATTTGTTAGTTGTATGAAAAATTTATAAGCCTTTTTGAGTCTTAAAACATGTAAGAATGAAAATGTGCTATTGAATTATAGATTAAAACACTGCCTATGACAATACTGTCACCAGACTCACTTAACCCTTAAATTTAAATTGATGTTACAAGATATGTCAAAGAGCCAACTACCAACAAATGTTTCAAAATTATATTAAATTTAAAATATGTTCAACATTTACAAATTGGCTTGACCGGTAACTGGACCCTAAGGACTGGACCGGTAACTGTAAGTAAGCAAGCAGCAAGCAAGCAATCCCTGCATGTAATAGCAAAAATTACCTTAACTACTGAATCCAACAAAATAAAAGGTTAAAATAACAATATTGTTAAACAGCATTTTATGTACACAGTTTATCTACACATTGCTTAATGTGTACAGCACACAGGGTTAAAATGCACACAAGATAAAAAAGCACAATAGTAAAAATCAATTACTGATGACAGCCTAAGGGTTAGTAATTATAAAGGGTTAATATATATTAACACTTGTTAAATACACACAAAAATAACCAACTATCTACCTAAAACAATAAATACTTTCATATCCGCTACAAGGAAACTAAGCTCATTTTCGTTTCAGACCTTGAAATCACACACATTTTTGGATGAGGATTATTTTAGGGCCCACTGCTTTTGCCAAGGAATATGTGAAGAAGATTTAAAAATCTTCAAACCACGATGACAAACAGAATGCAACAAATGGAGTGCTCTGTAATTGATGTCATTTAGAGATGGAGAAGCTTTTTGCAATGAGGAAAGTTTTACCAGAATGCTTTGCATCAAAACAATATGACAATAAAGTTACACCTTGTGAGCATTTTTAGAACAAATTCTATAAATAACTCACAGCAAGGGAAAGAGTCTATTAACAACATCCACAATCTGCGGTTTTCTCAGCTCCTTCACGGCAATACCTGTACCAGCAAAGAAAGCTCATAAGGCCAATGATTCCAAATATCCCCCAGAATATCATGCCAATCGAGAAAAAGGTGTTCCCCACATTCTTGATTTGTGCAAGCATCACAGGTGGGGCAAAAGGTATAAGACGCCGCTCTGCTATACCAAAAACTGGTCCAAGAGTCATTACAAGTGCAATGAGGCCGGCAGGAAGGACAATGACAAGGCGCAGAGGAATACATGGAAAACAGAATGGGTTTCCAATCCACAAAAACAAAGGCATCATACCTAGGAAACAAAAACAGAATGAATTCATATTGAATATTCAAATTGCTTTGTATTTTTTCTGAAGGATATGTCAACTTCCAGTAATCAAATCAATAATAAGAACAATAAATTAACAATTCCATTTGTTGTTTTTCATTAGATATCACAGAAAATTTGGGAATGTTAAATCAAAATGCACCATAACCAACAAGCTTTGTTGTTAGCTTCCTATTGTAAAGCCTCTATTTACAGATGCTTTTGCATGAAATGTGCCTTGGACCAATGCGTAAATTAATTTGCCTAAAACTTTTTTTTCTTATTTTCTAGGTCTTGAAGAAGTAACCTGCAGCCAATGAAACATTTGCCTACCTATCTTTTTATCAGGAAATCATATTGTACTTAGATACAGAGGCATGTTTGTAATATTTTTTTGGAGGGGGGGGGGTGGGGGGGAAGAGCCTCCTTCCCTAAAAAAAATAATAGCTCAACTCTGTTAAAATTGATTAAATGCATTTCCTTTCCACTCTAAATATTTTATTTCTATCAATGATTAGAAAACGAGAGTATACAGACCTTTGTATAAAGCAATAAATGCCATTCCAACACAGGTGAGGACAAGCAATTTTTTACTTTCATCCAGTGACATATCCGAAGGGACTGCAGCCAAAGAGGTTGCACATTCCCAACAATTAAAGTTCCCATACTTCCACAGCTGGGCAATGAACTCCATAACTATTCCACCACAGGGAATGTCAAAGAAAATTGTTTCCAATACCAGAAAAACAACATGGATTTTCAAAACATTTCTATAGTATGATGGCCCATTTTCACGATAAACCTCCATATCTTTGACCATAAATGCTTTTATTAAATTTGGCAACAGCAGACCTAAGTGAGCAACATAGAGAAGTGCCCCAAGACTGAGAAATGCCAAAAAAACCATATGCACAATGTCAAGGTGTTTTTGACTGGAGTCAAGAGATGTTGCTGTTCCATTGATCCCACCAGAGCAATACAGGGTATTGCTGGGGCAAAATGCCCTTGAAAGATTTGCCATTGTGTTATTGAATTCATATATGGTGCCATTTGCATCTTTGAAACAAGGAATTTTTGTGACATGGGACACAAGATTGGCACAGCTGGTTACTTTCTCATGGATCATAACAAAAACACCTGAATGTGCCCCAACATCGAGGCCTTGAAAGACGAGAAATATCATAAACTCAATGAACACTGTCCACTTGTCTTCCATTTCACAGGAGAGACACATCTTGGCAATTTCTAATCAGCATCAAACACACGACCCTAAAAATGAAAGAGTCAGTCTTTCAATTAAATTGTTTGTTAAAATCTGCAAAAGACTTGATATCAAGGCTTAAATCAGGGTTGTAGGGCTGGGGGTCAAGGGGAATGTGCCCTCTTTTCAAATACTAAAAGCCTTTTCTACTTTTTCCACCGAAATTATCGCGAGGAAATTATCGCCACCAGTTCTTTTCATAGCAACACACCCCTTGCTCATATCAATAACAAATCGATTTATAGAGGGAACTACAATCGATCCTCCTGCTCAGAGGCGGATCTAGGGGGGTGCTATGGGTGCTTGAGCACCGGTCAGAATTTTCGGAGATATAACATTCAATGCATTTTCTCTAATTTCTGAAAAACGTCTTGAATCCTTTTAGATGATGTAAATGTATTTTCCAGTAAACTGATGACATACGGTCATGCGTTAGTTAGCATAGCCTGTATCTGCTTTAAACTATAAATAGCTAGAAATTTAATGTCGAGCAGCCCTGGAACCAATTTTTTTACTTGTCCATCAAACCATACTCTCGGCCAATGAGCTACTTCGATTCTACGGGTGCTTGAGCACCCCTATCAATCAACCTCTATGGTCAAAGTTGCAACTGAGCCAATCACATCACGCTCTGATATGTTTTTCTGCAATGTCGAGCACCCCTATCAATCAAAACAAGGCTTCAACCAATCCGTTTGCCATATTTCGGCTCATCTGAGCACCCCTATCAATCATTTAATATACACTGGTGCATACCGTCACTGAAACGACTAAACCTGTTCGTGTAGCAGCAATGGCGGACATAAAGTCGTTGCTGTTGCAGGTGTTCTCGATTATTAGTTGCCAGTCGACTGAGGAAATTGAAACGGAAAACGATTTTGAGTATTCAGTTCAATCGTGAGAGGAAGTTTTTTGATAAGAGCGTGGTGAATTGGTGTCGTGACTTGTGGGAATTGCACAGATCGATGAGTTCGCTGAACTGCAAATGCCAAAGGTTCAAGTACTGTCCCGTGGAAGTTCTGACCTTCGGCCTTTCTGGTTGGTAGTTTCTTTTACCAGACTTTAAATGCAAAACGTTTTAACAGAATATTTCTTGGATTAATTCGACAAAAATATCGAATTTTACAGAGAAAAATGCGCACCCCCAAAAAAATTGTGCCAAGGATTTTTGGTTGTTGGGGTGGTATGGTAATTACTACCAGAATGAATTCGATACCCATTTCTTGCCAAATGCAGATGACCCCAAAAATGTACTACTTCAACACAAGGTACTTAGTAAAACAATCAATTTTTATCAACAAATTCTTACAAGTATTGATTTGAAGGCATTGAGTCATGGTAAATAGGCCTTCTCTATAGGGGGTCATTTGGATTCGGCGTGATCGCTGCTGTTTCATGTGATACTTGCATCCGTTGTTGACAACTTGCTATTGATGGAAATTGTTTTGTCAATCAGTACGAGGTGAGTTCATGTGACCAGTTCAAGGTCAACCAATAGCATGGCATTCATGAAAATCATGACTCAGCGGATTCTGGCACTTAGGGTATACCCAATCCATTTTATCATGACTCAATGATATTTAACTCAATTTTCGTATTTTGCTTTTTTTGTTTGAAACATTTTAGCTGCCTTTTTAAAAAATGAACCAGTGTCTGAATATCGCAGAGCAATCAAATATTGACTAACGACCTAAAATGTCATTCATTGATTAATGTGATGTACAAACTGCGAAGGCAGCAGTGTTATTTTTAACTAGCATTGCTAGCAAATAGGCTTCTAACAAAAGATATCATTTTTTATATAGTTATGCTTTAATACCTGAATTTAAAAAAGATTAATTTATCAAGATGGGTGTTGTCTTCATTTAACCGTAAGTAAAAGTGGGGTGTGGCATTATTATGGCTATTAAGGCAACGCCCTTAAGCACCCCTCAGATTTTCCGCTGGATCCGCCTCTGCCTGCTAGAGGGAACCCTATAAGAAGCCCAAAATAATCAATAAAACAGTTTGGTATGCAAAATAATCCCTCTCTTTGACAAACTCGAAAGTTCAGAAATTATACGCAACTATCTTGAACAGGAAGAAATGAGTTGACCTTTCTGCGGTATTATCAAACAAAACAACTTCCAATGGGTTGGTCCACGACAGTGAAAAGATTTTGTTCTTTAAATCAGAGTATTGTAAATTACCGAAAGTTCAAAGGCCATCCTGTTTCCACAAACTTGACATTCTGAATATTGTTGAAGAAGCCTGATATTCTCCACACGCAAATCAATCGTCTCGAGCATACTACGACAGGAAACTACACTACACGTTCAATGTTTACATTAACAAAAACAATCAGGGTCGAGAGTCCTCGCAGGGGGTGCAATCAGGGTCGAAAGTGACTCCGGGGCAAAAAACAACTGCGGCGCCCTTGTTCTTTACAATTTCCATCTTTTTTCTTAGGTGTGGGGCCCCTTTTGGCTACCATAAGCACGAGGCCTGGGGCCATGGCCCCCTGGATCCCCCTTAAAATCGCCACTGACGGAGCGTAAAAATTAGACAGGGAATTTTTCCTAACAAACTGGCAGAGAGGGTAACCGGAGGTTTTTCACTTGTTTCCACTTCCTTGGACTTATACCTTGAAATTTTGAAGGGTGTCCAAAAAAATTTCGCCCTAGATGTCACGTGATCGATGACGTAAATTTTAACTGTCAGAAAAAAATGAAAATCTTCAAATTTGGAAACAAACAGCATCAATCGAAAGAGTATAAAAAACCGAACAACAAAAGCTCAGAAACATATATAAACAATCTTTTGGTGGTACAAAACTTGTAAATAGCTTTGAAAAAAGCAAACATTTAGTAAACTAAAGCTTTTCGTCTGACACTCTTCAGAGTTTAAAACGTCAGAACATAGATCGAAAACTCTACGCTAAGAAATATATATACCCAGTTGTGGATCGAAATAGGCCAATCAGAAACACGAGCACATGACTGTAAAGGTTGACCA